ATTAGAAATTGTGTTCTTTCTTCTACTAGGGTTTAAAAAATACTGAATCATAGCAAATTCCATCCTTAACATGATTTCATGCATCAGAAAAAACAATAGCAACAAATTTAATAATCCATTTGATAGACTCACAATACAGATTCGTATTTTTTGCAAATTAATGTTCTTCGACGACCACAAACCATGACGGGTGACAACATAAATTATTGCAAGGTGGGAAATCCACACTGGTTATGTAAAATTTAACATCAACGTTTGTTTATCTTTGGTGCGGCATCATACACGACAAACTTTAACACTTTATAACATGTACTAGTAATTTAAGCGGATGTTGCACTCTTTAAGTACTTGAAAACATTTAAATTTAACATAGTGGTTGTTCAACACAACGATAACATGAAAAATGTTAAAACATGATTTTACATGACCAGGAAAAGTGTATATCGGCTTTTTTGTTGAAAAGATTAGATGCGACATTTGTGAAAATATAGCTGTTATAGCTTCCACATAATATGTCAACTAAAAAATATACCTACAAAAATATATTAGATTAAATTAGCATATTAACAAATCACTGTGAAAATCGACAGAGTTTCAATCTTGCTATCGTCTGGCTCTCCTAGCTTTACTGTCATCTATCAAACGACACAAGTAGAATGCATCAATTCATAACAATTGATTCAAGGACTCTCGAAGTGATTATAGCATTGTTTGATGATTGGCTAAATTGCCCGAAAGGAGCATATGAAAACCAGAAAGAAAAAATGTGGTCACGATTCGAGATGTTTTATGGTCCTGGTATAGAATTAATAGCTGCGTAAAGATAAAATAATTATATCTACTATTATTAGAACCACGAAGTTTACTAAGTATGCATATTATTTCAGTTGATGTTAAAAGCGTTTTTCAAAAATCACTATTTAGTTCTAAATTCCTGCAATAATTTCTTGAAACGTATTTTATCAGCAACAATAATAAATTTTTTATGTATATGACTTTTTTGTATTCTACTCACAATTAATCGATAGAAACTATACTAGTAAGTAACAAATTGGTCTTTCTTGAAAAAGCAGTATCTCAAAAATTTCTTAATGTATGTTTAGGGAAGTATCAAAATATTCAGTGTAATCTTCCCGATAATCAACTTCCGCAATAAATCTTACAGCCTTCTCTGCACCAAGCTAGGACGTCACAACTAATTGAGGAAATGAAGGCTTGACCCAATTTTTTTTAATCAGACACAGCTTGACACTAGCAATTTATTTACAGTCTCGTTATCTCTGTCAGTCATCAGCAACATATCATGTCTAATTATCACCCGTGCATGCTAGAAAATCATGAAAAAGAACAAAAAAGTTTATTAAATAGTCTACTTTTACAATTCACCTGTTTGTTATCCACCCGACATGTATGAACTAATCGTCTATAATGTAAGCTATAATCAAACTGGGTCACAAATAGCATGAGACTCGACGTGATCAGCAACCTGGATGTATATCACTCTTTCAAATACCTTAAATAAGATTGAAGAAACACTAACATCTTTAATTCTTACAACCGATTTAATTATTGCGTTTATGAAAAACTACCCCTCAACAAATCTGGAAAAAATATAAGTCGAGATCCAGCTATAATAGCAACGTTGTCAAGAGTATCACAGAGAGGCTTATGTTACGTCTTAATTATATTAGAGGAAACACATATAAGTACAGTATTTTATATAGTTGTGGTTGTTGTGTCACTCAACTATCATTTGTTAAGTGATAGAAATTCAGTATACTACGTGATTAACGAAATGCGTCGATATATACTTGATGAACACTGAGTAATATTGAAAACTTGTGTAAGCCATTCGATAGAAATGAAGCACCATCTAACAATAGTGTAAGGAAGTTGAAGAAGAAAGGTCGTTTTCCTGGCATGTTAACAGACCTTTAGCATCACCCCGCAGCTTGTTTGGTGGAAAAAATTGCTGCTACAGCTTAGCTGGAAGTGTACATCAATATCCGAGCATCTCTATCCGACATCATACATAAGGATTTAACATCAGCGAAGATACTTCTTATTCTTCTCACAAACCGTTATCAGTTCTTGGCCTCCTATCTCCTACCTTGGCCCCCATCTTGCTCTCAGCCTTTCCCTAAATCTCGCATCGTGCAGTCTTCTGTTAAGCATCGGTATCTTTGAATTCTGAGGAGTTTAGGTCCCATAGCTATGTGTCATTACAGGCTTTAAAATTATTTTATAGATCCGGAACTTGTATATTCTGAAGAATGTATATTCTTTGATTTCATTAAACACTGTTGCAGAGTAAACTTTCTTGTCCAGCAGTACTCTTCATCGTATATTCCCTGCATGCTTGCTACCCCTCGCCAGCTCCATTCCACAAGATATATGAATTACGAGACCACCTCTACGTCATCCTCTGTGTCACCACCCACATCTTTGCCTCACCTACCTTGCATCATTATTTGCTCGGGCTTCCGGAGTTCCCCAGATTGGAGGTAAGAGTCGGAATTAAGTAGGAGAGAAGATCTACAAATTCCAATTGATTCAAGAGTCTTTACTAAAATTGCTTCTTTATTCACTAAGTTGCTACCAATGCAAATAATTGGCTGTATGATGTGGAACATGGCTCAAAGGCGTCATAAGAAGGCGTTCTTTGCAAATGTGCAAAAACTCGCACTAAGAGTCAATGATGACCATTATTGTACCGAATTAACGGACTTTTAATTCCTTGCGTCGAAAAGAAAAACTTGGCCAATGTTACAATCGATGTTTTGATCTCTATTTTGAAACTAACATTAGCCGAAATAGTAACGTCAACTAGTTGTTTAGAAGCTGCGATTTGATTGCAATGGATAATCATCGATGTGGAGTGTCTATTGAACTGGTCTTTGGTGAAATAGAGGCTGTAACGATTAAAAAGATTTGAATCAACACTTCTACTATTTGTTAACGTAAAAAATAAATTGAGGTCATGCAGGATTGCATCATTCTTAATCATAGATGTTATACTTACAATTATTAAATGCAATAATGTCGATCAGTCGCCGCCACTAACCTTTTAGATGATCCAAGTTCGCAGAGTGGAGCAATAGCAGAAAGATTATTGTTGATAATTGACAAGACAATTGATGTTGATTATATATCTTGGAACGTTTCTTATAAGAGGACGTTTACCCTCAATTCGTCAAGGTCGCTTGTGGGCGAGGCGCTGGATTTGAAACATTAACAGGAAATCGTCAGCTTTGGAGGATTCTAGAGCCTCCCCCGCAAGCGACCTCGGGGATTTAAGGCGAAATCGATCCTTATATATCTTGGCAAAGATACAAAGTCTCTTATAAGAAGACTTTTACTCTCAAACCGCCGAGGTCGCTTGCGGGCGAGGCGCTAGAATTCTCCAAATCCGATGATCTCGTGCTAATGTACCAAATGCAGCACCTCGCCCGCAAGTGACCTCGGCGATTTGGAATAAAATCGTTCCTTACATCTTGGTAAGGATACAAGTCTCTTATAAGAAAACACTTACCCTCAAACCGCTGAGGTCGATTATGGGCGAGGCGCTGGATTTGCTACATCAACACGAAATCGTCAATTTCAGAGTTTCCTTCCTTCAACCCCAAAGGTTTTAAAATGTATTCACTCGAATGTAGATTCAAACAAAGAATCCAATAGATTTAATCACACCTACGTTTCCGATAATATCAAAAAGTACAGAAACAGGTTAAATATTAACAATAAAATTAGCAACAATCGCATATACATGGTACCCATTATGTATGGAATATAGTATATATCTTGGTAGGTATCAACTTTATAAAAAAACATTTTATACAAAAGTTGTTTAATATTTGATTTGCCATAATAAGACTGTATTCAATTGTTTTTAATTCAGAAAACAAATGAGTAAGGAATAATACTTAAATTTTTTTTAATTCAATGTATGCTTTCGTTACGCTCATTTCATAGAGATTACTTTTCTCTTTATGATGGCGTCTAAAAAAATCTATATCAAATGAGCCTAACGAAAGGGTATTGCCATTTAAAAAACTTCAAGTGTTATTCGTTGTTCAATTGTTTTCTGAAATAAAAACAATTGAATGCTGTCTTATTATGGCAAATAAAATATTAAACAACTTTTGTATAAAAAGGTTTTTTTATAAACTTGATACCTACCAAGATATATACTATATTCCATACATAATGGGCACCTTATATTGATAACTCTTTAAAACGATATTAATTAAATGATATGACCCTAAATATGTGATAATTAAATTATTTTGAAGGATATATTAGAAAACAATGAAAAAGAGGACAGCGGCTTGGTGTATCGTGATTATGAACAAAATAGAACGGAAGAATACAACGTAAAATGATAATAACTCGTATTATTATTATTTTTCGACCAATATCCTCAAATAAATTTTTCAAAAACTTAGATAAACAAAAAGAATTATTTAATCAATAGATACTAGTGATTCTAAATTAAAAATGTTATTCGCACTATTTCAACTTAATGACATTGATGCGATTTTTAGCATTTCTTTATAAATCCTACAAGAAACCTTAATACTTAAAACCTTGGAAAATATCATCTTAAAACGAAATAAACGATGAAATAATGATTATAAAAACTCTACTTATCTTCGTAAGTGTCATTATGTTAATTCAATTTTAATTTCATATCTTCTAAAACTTTTCATCTTATCATATTTAAATCGTCAAATTGTTGTTATAGAAAAAAATTGTGTTTGTTTGCAAGAAATTAAATTGTTATTTAACATTTTTATGGAAATTTTTGTCATAAATCTCTTAAAAAACCTTGATATTTTTAAAAGTCACTTTCGGAATTCTCATCTAAGAAAAACCAATCAAATAGTATTTTCGAAAACAAACAATTCTCCTCTTTTATCATAGATCATTAACTTAATTTATTCTCGATTCCGTTCTTTTTTTATCTTTTTACATTCGTTTTTTTTAACCTCTCATTTCAGGTTGTTGAACGTAATGATACCAACTTAGATCGTCCAAATTGGATCTTCAGAGAACCAACAGTAGACGTTTTTACAAATGTCCAGCCACAACCAAGTCGTCATTCAACGCGTAGCGCAAAAAAGATGATTTTCGACGGCGATTTTCATATGGAATTTTGCGATAATCTCAAGCAACTTCTTCAAGCTTATTTTCGCGATTACAACTTTGAGCTTTTGGATCGTCCTTGGAGGGCATTCAGTAGCAGTTGGCAACCAGATCACATCGCCAGGAACATGGGAATAAACTCTTCGTATGTTCACGGTGATTTCTGTTACGTTTTGTTGCGTTTAAGTCGATTGAGAGACACCGTTAAGCTGTCGCCGCTTCCTTTCGATGTGAATTTAGACGATTTGGTCGCTAGAGAAGTAGATAAAATCGTTGTTGGAGATACAGAAAGCGTTTGGAAATTTATTAAGAAATTCGGATCGCATTATATTAATTCGTATGTTACTGGAAATTCTTTATATCAGGTGAGTTAAAGCTTAAAGTTTTATATTTAAAATTTTTTTTTTTTGATTGGATTTAATAGATTTGTTGATCTGAGTTGTTAAAGTGAACTGAAACAATTCAAGGATGAATGATTTAGTTCAATTAGGTTTCGTTTAGTGACTTTAGATGAAAATGTTTTGTTCAAATGAAAAATTTCTTTATGTAATCGATTTTAACCAATTCAAAACATTTTATGGTGAATTAACTACAATGGGTGTTTTTAAAACTAATTTTCCGGGTGATTTCAATCTTGCGAGTTTTTTTTAATTTGCTATAAATCTTTAGCTGTTATAAATCTTGTATTTTTAATCGTCAATTTGACAATTAAGCGATAAATTTTACAACGGATTCTTGCTTCCGGTACACCTACACACGTTTTAAGCACATAAATAACGTTACTCTTGAATGAATTTAGTCAGTTTAGAAGGTTTTTTATATTATTACTTTGTTAGTTTTTCTTCATTTTTCGTTTTTTTATCAGAAAGTTTACATTTCCACTCCCCTAACTTTTAACTTTACCCTCATTACCGTTTCTAGTATAACTTGAAAGATAACCGTGTTCTCTTCGCGTCCCTTTTTAAAACATTTTCCGGGTTTATTTTTATGTAAACTAAACGTGAAAATTATGTGTCTCGTTAGCCTCCGCTTTACGTTTGATCTGAAAACGTACTTTGTTTCAGGAAAACATGCGGAAACTCGACGAATTTAAATGTTTCATTTAAAAATGTTTGACGTGAAACATTTTGATATTAAAAGAGCAAAAAATATGAAAATATTGTAAAGGATAGATTTTTAAAGAAAAAAGTCTTGGACACTTTTATTAAATCATAAATCACCGATCTGTTCCGAAAATGTTAAAGCACCAAGTTTTTTTTAATATAATCAATTTCTCGTCCCTGTTTGGAATGAAAAATGAGTCTAAAGCTTTTAAAGTCACTAAATTCGTTGAAGGGGAACGTTATTTATGTACTTAAAATGTGTGTATGTGTATCGAAAGCACAAGTTCGTTCCAATTTCTGCAATAAAAACAAGAAAATGTTTATATTAATTTGAAATAGAAGACCAAAAAAAACTTGAAAAAATGCCAACCCTTTTTGGCGTTTAAATGTTTTTATTAGAGGGTTGTTTTAGGTTGCGTTCTTGTTGTTCAACCCTCCTATTGTGGTTCGGAATCTTGTTAAAATTCAACCCGCGTCAAAGCTATTTGTTCGTTTAAACGACGTGAAGGGGTAAAAGTAAATAAAATAAAAAATATATATTCAAGGGTTACACAATAAAATGGAAATTAGTTTCGAAAAGAATCAACCACCTGTTGTATTCAAAATACATGGTGTTTGAAATGTATTGTGGTAAACGAATGTTGCATATAGAAAACCTCATTTTAAAACAAATTGAAAGAACTTTTTTTAACTGTTAACAATATTTAAAATATGCTATTGTGCATAACATGTGACAAAAAAGAATATCAAAATCAATTAAAGATAATTAAAAACTTAAATGTTGTGCCAAAGAGATCAAGCTCCTATTAATTGAACCGGAGAGTGGCGTCGACTTTTTAATATTTAAGAAGGGGCTGAACTTTTTCAAATGGTACACCTTATTATGTTATTATGTTCTGGGTATTTAGAATTAGAATGAACTACGAAAGCAGATAGTGCGAGATGTAGGTTTATGAAACAAGTACTGGGGAGATGTACTTGTCACCCCAATATCTATTGTCCATCTGTTGTCTTTGTATCTGTTGGCATTCTCCTCAACAGCTTTGCTTTACATCATCTAGAAACAGATCATCATTTAGATAACTCTTCGTTCTTAACAAGGAGATCGCGTATTCTTGAAGGGCTTAATTAAAAATGATCTTCATTTCAAAGAATAGAAAGTAGAAATACGTAGGTTTTTCTCATTCCCATTTTTTTGCACACTTTTGACAGAAAATTAAATAAATTATTGCGCCAAGGAGATGTACGATTGTCTGGGTTTTAGTGAGATTAGTTCTGGCTACTACAAACACTCTTTTTAGTGGAATCTAATCAGAAAATTCCAGTGGATATGTACCATACCGAATAATTAGTTAATAATTTAGTTAGATATTGTATTGATACACAGCGGTAGATCAGTAATTTATATTTGATGTTTACATTCCGCCTTTGAATAATTCAACTTAACGAGGGAATAATTCCTCTTCTGTGTCGCATAATGGTGAGGTTACTTTCTAATGTGCTACCACCAAACGAGATAATGTACTAAAATGTAGTGAAGTAAAAGTGTGTGTTGAAGATAGTACATCTGTGAACCGATTATGTGAAGTTTGTGGAATAACAAATAATCGAGTTATCTCGTAACGTAAATCTAATTCTGAATATGCTGTGAAGTAGTTTGCTAATGAATATTTAAGTATATCGGGTTCCGGACCACCTCGTAAACATGAGTCTGGTGGTCAGAAAGTGGTGCAATAATGTGCAAACTGATTGTCAAGAACAAGCTTATGGTTTAAATGTAACCCAGCAATCATACAACGAATTGGTAGTGATAGTTGATTATGGTATTTTCGTAAGATGCGGAGATATATCAGTTAAATGTTAATACGATGGCGATGAAGCCACTAATAATGATACAAATAATACATAAATACATAAGAAAAATGAAGCTAAATACGAAGGCAACGCTGACTATACATTTACATAAGTTAGAATACTGCAAAATCACTATTACCATTTATTACAATTACATAATAAGCATTTCCTCAGACATCGGTACTTTGATGTGATCAGTACCTGCCAATACATTATTATTATGATAAAAGAACTGGTTCACCACATCAATTTTATCTGGCCTTTTAAAGGATGTTGCGATTTGAATTGTACGCTATTGTTTTGCGCAAGTAACAGCTCTGAAATATGACAGCTGCCATCTGCGATTGTTCCAATTATTAATTCGACGCTGCCAAGTTAAAATTGCAAAAATGTCAAAAAAGTCACTTTTTACTTAGCTACACCGTTAAACAGGATATTTAAATCTGCATCCAATAGTTAAAGCGACATAATCGCTACAATATTGGTTTAAAGATTACGTGATGAAAGTTTTTGTGTTTCCTAACAAATCAAGTATATGTCGTTTTGGCTTGGCATCGTCGAAATATAGAACGCAACACAAAGGAACAACGCATTATCATTGTGAAAAGCCGTTCCAAAAATGGAAAAAGTTAGTTCGCGGAATTTTCGGTTATGACAGTACATCAAATATGTCAACGATTCGACGAATAATCAATAAATTTGAAGAAACTAGGTCGACTATGTACAAAAAGTTAATTCTGACGAAGGACCTCCATCTTCATCCTTAGAAGGTTCAGCTGACTCAAGAGCTCAAACCAACAGAAAAATTAGGTGAATACCGATTTTTCGAACAAAGTCATATTCACCGAGGAGGCATTCTTTAATTAGAATTTATCATTTTTTTTTAATGAGGGAAGCAATGCTGTATCGGCTGTGCGCTTTACGGCAACATGATACCGGAGTTCTTGTAGCTTCATCTGAACGTTATGAATCTAAAAAACAATGCATTTATTGGAAGAACGATTTACGGACCGAATTATCTCCTGAAATAGCTATGTGGTCTTAAATTTCTGAGTTTATGAAATCTCACGTCTATGTCGATACGCCACGGACTATTCCAGAACTCAAGGATGCTATCATCAATTTCATTAAAAGCGTAAGGGTCTGTGTTCAGAACAGTCGGAGTCATTTGCCGATTATTTTATTCCATACATAATCGGAAGCATTTTATACATGCATTTTGTACCAAAATTTGATTGAATTCCTTTTGTAGAACACATTTCGCAGCGAGCTTAACACTGACGCTGCAATTGAATCTCCTTCGCTTTTTTGACACATACGTAGTGTCTATTTCTTTGGACTACTGTATTCACTAATCCTTGGGCAAGCTTTCTACGATATTCGATAAGTGATATTTTAAGTGGTATTAACAGAAGTGATATCCATAAGTGCCTACCACAACCGGTGCCACCACTTGCGAGACCTCTGAGACACACTGTAGTATGATTGTAGTTGGTCGGCGAGATCTACACCCCCCATATTGGCATTGAAATTAATTATTACTGCAGGACATCGAACTTCTTGGCTTGTTCCATCTTTAGATTTTCTCTTCAAACTTGTTGTCTCGTTACCATGATAATTAGAAGCTAAGAAAATGGATTTGTTATCCATCTACTTGTAACAACTTATGTATGTGTTTGATTTTCTATATATAAATTCTCCTCTTGCCATCTTATTTTTCCCGAAGTCTTTAGGACCTCCCTTTCTATCTTCTCTTATCGTTCCACATGATAAAACTTTTTCTGTTTTTAATTTTTCAAGAAGACCAAATGAAGATTCAACAAGAAACAAAATTCTATTTTTTCCGAATTCAGTTTTTGCTAAATCTAAAACAACACGTCCTCCTAAATCGTAACTTTTGTAATCCTGATATCACTTATCATTTTTCCGTTAATATACTTGAAATTTTAGGGTATACCACTTTTTATCAGCCAAACACCAAATTTGATAGCCTCATTTCATTGGTATTTTAGGATTGTATTGTAAGTTTATTCCAAGAAATACTTTCAATTCTAATTCTGATAAATCAAGTGACTGGCCATTCTGAACTGCATATAACTTTGATAAAAATATCTGTCACTGTATGACAATCCCAAAAATGATCTTCTACCACACCAGTTGGTTACCTATAATCTGGTATATTGGTTGTATGATCACAGTCCTTCCATACACGATTATCATTTTCTATATTCATGTTTGCGTCTAGTTGAGTACCATTTTCAATGTCTGGAGAAACAGTAGATTGGTTTCGCATTGTACTAATATCGTCTACTGATAAAAAAGTGGGATTAAAATATTTTTATATTCACTAAAAATATAAGTAAATCGTACTTCAGTCATTGGGTAATTGCTATGCGTAGTTTTCATTT